ACATATAGGTATATTTTCAAGTTTGCTTTACAAAGGGTGAAACTTTAGAGTTCTATTAGTTTGAACGGGCAAAAGCCAATGCTTTAGAGTTCTATTAGTTTGAACGGTTATTAATATTATCGGTTTTAATTTGTCAACGTTGCTTGACATTTTTTGTCTCGTTAAATGAAGCATTGTTTGGATGGCGGGCGAGGAGGCCGAGGTTAGAGGGTGGCGTGATGGCGTCCTGTTTACATTATAGCTAGCTATTATAATATTATGATTTATTACTCAATCGGTGCGCCGCCAGGCATAGCGGCTTCGTAATTTTACCTGAATTTCGTTCACGTACGCGCACTTAGACTAAGGAATTTAAACTACGCTGGAACACGTAAAGGAAAGCCTTTGATAAGGATTAATTGGATGAACTACTTTGAAATATATAAAAATTAATTCAATTTAATAAGATAAGCTCAAGAATTATTTGTTCATTAAACTGTTGAGTGCCAATTTGAATAAACAATGTTTATGCAAAATATTGTATGCATAGTTCGGACGCTCGAGTCACTGAACGTTAAATTTTCGAGATGCATTCTTGTCTGGAATTTCTGTGTTTAGTCACTGTGTATAATCATTTTCTTATATAGACTTTTTAAAAGTTTTCATTTAGATTTGATGCTACCGAAAAGTTTGATAGTAAACAAAATCACCACCACCACCAAATTAAAAAAGAACTCAATTAGAAAGTATCCTTTTTTGTTTATGCTACATGATATGATTACTGAAGAAATATGAAATATTTAAAAAAAAAGTATGGTCTCATATAAATTTCAAAGGAACAAACAGAGAAATATAATTGGTTTTAATATTTTTTAAAACGGCGGTTTTAAAAACTAATTGCTTATTTAAAAGTATTTATTTTATGTGTATTATTTTTAGATAAAAATATTAGATTATATAAATAATTTTAATTGTTACTTTAATTAATAGATTGGATAGGTCATTAAATAAATCTATGATTTTTGAAAAAGTAAAACCTTGTAACTTCATCAACTAAATGATATTAATTATTCCTATAATATTTTATGACATTAATACATTTAAATATTAAAATGGGAGTGTAAAATTTTAAAAAGATTGTACAAAAACACCCGAATTAAAAGTGTAAAGTTGAAGGTAAATAGACAAAGCAGAGCAAACAGTTCAGCGGTATTCTTGAAATCTTGGGAATATTCTCTTTGAAACATTCACTCAAGCGGTCTATGCACTTTACCTGTACGTATGTAATATAGTAGATATGAACTCATACGTACGTTATGTAGTAAAATGTAATGTCGTTTAATTTATTGTAAATATAGGTTTGTGAACAGGACAATCAAAATATATTTATTTAGGAATAAAGAGATATAGAATTATTAGAAAGAAGATAATATATGTTTTTGTCTTTTATTTTTAAATTATATGGCATTAACATTATTTATATACTTTGTTAAGTAACGTATATGTACATATATACATTATACATACATACATATATAATACATACATATATAGGATATACAATACTGATATTCGCTTTAAAAATATTTATAGATAAATTAATTCAATATGTATTTGTTTTACGTATTGTAATAGTAGATAGAATATTTACGTAAATGGCAGGTACATACTCGTACATATATCTATATGCAGTTCAAAACCGCATCTCACTCAGATCCGTCGAGCTGTTACAGCTTGAAGAAATAACAAACAGTCACAAACTTTCGTTTTTATAATATTAATTTGATTGGAATCGTGTAATTTCCAAGAGTCTATATTGCTGAATCGTAATACGCCCCTGGAATTACGTATCGGGTACAAATCACGAGACATTCCAATCTCTCCGGTTAATTGAATACTGTAGGCCTTCATTATGCCGGGTGGAATGAATTGACAAAAAAGGAAGTTTTCCAGAATGGCTATGGTGGTTTGTGACGTCGAAAACAAAAACCACAAATGGCATTTGGGAGGTGGTTCGGATCGAATAATTACACTGCCATGGTTTATACCCCAAACTTGGCTTTCACACGACAAACATTGTCGCTCCTTCATAAATCTTTGTGCTCAACTCAACAGAGGTCGGGTATTAAATGTTTTACCAGAACACTTAAGTACTTCTTAACGAACTTTGTCAGCATAAAAGATGTTTTTGAGTGTTTGTTCTTTGAAAAAGAATCGCATCTAAAATAATATTTCTTTTTTATTTTGACGTTTTTGATATTTTTATATGGTTAAAAAGTAAATGTATTATATTTGATGATGTACTTGATTATATTTGATGATTATGTTAGTGATTAAGAAGGTTAAGTTAATAATAAAGCAAGTATGAATTTCGATAGTCATAAAGATGGTTAATGCGCATAGAAATCGCAGAGAAACCTTTGATTTTACATCAAATTAGATGTTGAGACATACAACAGAAATAGCGGGATTAATTCGGGGTTGAGAAGAATGTCAATATTAGGGGAATAGGGGTGTGAAGTGTGGAGTTGCGGAGACAGGCGAGTATCGGCCATAGTGGAATATGGTAATGTAGCGACGTCTGCTAGTGATTTTTAACACTTATTATTAGTATCTGTTTCACTTCATGCTGCTGCCATGCATCGTAATATCGTGAGATCTTTTGAGTAATGTAATACACAAATAAATAAAAAATAAAAAAAAAACCCTTACGCAAATTAATTGTCATTTAACGATTACACTGGCACACGAGAAGCACTTAATCAAGTAATCATACGCCAAAATGCCTTACATCATTTTGGAAAAGAGCTGATACTCTTACACTGCTGGACTGATATTAACCAAACATAGCTAAGAACCACCGCAAGGAAACTGGCTTTCAAATGAAAAAAACCACATCGAAATCGGTCCATCCGTTTGAGAGCTATGATGCCACAGACAGACACACACACACACAGACTGACAGACATCGACGTCAAACTCTCTTTTTGCATCGGGGGTTAAAAATATATTCAAATTAGACCAATTTTCGTTTGATGTACAAACGATGAATGAATATTTTAAAAAGTAGAGTTTCTATAAGTACTGTAGATTTCCTAAATAGCTAAATTTTGCACATACAAGTATAGAATAATATAGATGGCACTAATGTTACTTAATATCATAAAACTATTTAATACATTAATTAACAAAGTCAAAATAAGTAAACGATAAGAATATTTATGCAGACAGTAGTTGGCCCATGATAACCTGCAACCCCTTATGAAGCTGTCATGTGCCGTCACCCACGACGCAAAGTGTATATCGTGATGTTTACGATACTAAGGAAGTTCTTTGCAAATATTATATTTTCGTATGAGCCATCTAAAGAGGCTAAATATTTTGCTTATAAGAAACATTTAAACCTCCATTGAGAAAGATATTTAAAACTGTTTTATTTTATTACTCTGAACGTGTAAATAATTATTGATAAATAAGCAATAATAAACTATTATAATTAAAAATCACTATAGTTAATGCAATAGTTTTACCTATGCACATAATTCATTAATATGAATAGGTACATAAAAACAAAAAAAAATAGAGACACATACGTACAGGTATACCGTATTATCTTGTTATTATAATAGATTTTTTAAAGTTTGAACAATTAATTATTAGTATAAAAATTAAATAAATGCGTTTAATGACCTGTACAGTCATTCGAGCTTATGTAAACTAAAATGGTGTAAAATTATAACCATAAAGCAAATAAAATATCAGATTTGTATAAGTATTATGAATATTCATCATTTCATCGTCAAAGAAACTGCTGATAAAAAGACGCAGAGAGCCTTTTTATTTAAGTTTCTATCAAAGAGTCATCTCATTGTGAAGACAACAATTCTGTAAAAGTGTAGCTTTTCTTATAAGCAAAGCGATTTGTTTCATTATACAAACAAAAGATCCTTAAAAGGCTAATATTTTAAGTTGAAGTGGAAAGAAAAATGCATTTTATATGTACATACAATGTACATATATACTACTGTTTCATTCAAATTACAAGAAAATTGAATTTACCAACAGGACGGAAATTATTAACAATTTTGCGGTTCAGTATAATTAATATATATCATATAGTCATAGTTTCTTAAAATATTTTGTATCTGCCACCAGTTAAATGTGAATTAAAATACAATATTAGCAGTTGTGTAAAGTTCGAAATATTTTCGCATTTGTATAAATCGTTGTAATAGTTGATTATATATAACTAGATAGATATAAAGCTCTACATTTAAGTTAAATATATTATTATATTATATGTAATCTAATTATATCTATCTAATATTATAATATTATATAACTTAGAATTTAATCAGGTCTAAGTTTATTTTAATGATACAAAAAGAAGAACAAGCATAACGATTAATCATATCTCAGAAGATACTGGCATTTATATCCGTTAAAGTTCAAGTTGGACTTTGTCTTAGTTTATTTAAAATATATTTATATAATAATTATGATACCTTTTATATAAATAAAAATATTGCTACGTAAAAAATAAACACTCTGCGTCGATGAATTAGTGAGCTGTCTTTTTAAGGTTTCTAACATGTTAATCTAGGTGAGAATTAGCTTTACACTAATTCTATTAGTGGTGTCGCAGTAAGTATATATATAAGTAAATATGTATGTATATATATAATACTAGCGAAGGTAGAATGACTTGGTATACACAGAACACAATATATGTATCTACGGAGAAGTGGCGAAGGGTGAAATTTTAACAGAGTTATGCCGTTCCAAAAATATACAATTTTTATATACGTATTAAGGCAGCAAGAAATAAAGCTATGAAATATATATATATATATATAATGAAATATATATATATATATATATATACATTCCCACAAGAAGATTTATACATTTAAAAACATAGGTGTATGTAAAATTATGGCAAAATAATTTTAAGGTAAGATGTTAAGTATGGAAGCGTCGCCACTAGTACGGACTCGTATGTATAAGGAATGATTACTTACCATGACTGCGTTGATTTTAAAGTCCATATGGTTCTTAACTTCAGCTGCAAGTTCCCGTACGAGAAGTAGCCCATCTTTGCGTACCACCTCCACATTGTATTCATGGTATTTCTGCACAATAAAATATATATTTTATAATTATTTATTAATACTGGAATATTAGTTTGCAATTATAATTCAAGGATAGGCCTCATTTTACATTTAATTTTACCATTAATATTTAAGAATCTAAATATTTGTCAGAACGAACAAAATCAATAGTATCATCATAAATACTGTACTATGAGTCTAGTTAGAATCGGAAAAAAATCGATATACATCGAACAGAAGTATTGTTTTCAATGTATTCAGTATTCAAATGTAATCAAAACTATCTTACACATCACTAGTTTGGTATAGATATGTGTATGCAGATATTCGTGTACAGTTTCATATTATATAAACTAATATTTAATATAACAATAGTTGGTGGCTTTATTTAAACTAAAGCACTAGTAATATCGGTGCGAGCAGGCATGTAATTTAATGCTTTCATAGCAGATATACGTCGAGGAGTGTAATGCTCGTATTATTCGCTAAAATGACAACAATCGCGTCGCACTCGCGCTACATTAGGCGGTGAGTTATTGGGCCCAACATGGCGGCTCAGATCTGTCAAATTTAAAAATGGAAACACGTCCGGAATTTGGCGGATGCTGGCTGCCAAATTATTGTTATTCGGCGGAGGCGCTCCGGAGCCCGCCCCGCGAGCGGTGTTATTGAATTTTGGATTGTACCCGATGTCGTGTTTGTAGCGCTATCAAATCTAATGAGATATATAACTTATTATATTTCCATTTTCTCTAAACAATGTGAGATAATTAGCAGTTAATTTTATTGTTTAAGTCACTGAACAGTATATAATTTTATTATTAACACTATATTTAATAATCACTTATCCTTGGAAAAGTTTCTCTCCCTGATTTTAATAATAGTAATCTTTGAATCTTTATTCAATGGTCAAGTTTAGGTAAATTGTACAAATAATAGGTAATGGGAATCGGAAATTAAACGATACTCTATACAGCCCTTATACAATGGCAGTAAACCTTTTTACTGCAAAACAGTCTCCGCTCACCCAATAAAGTTCATTTTAAGTACATCTCAGCGCGGGATAAAAATGGCGGATGTCGAGGACTACGGAGTACAAACCGTCTCTACAGTAACCGTATCATTTTAACGATTCGTTGATGTCCTATTGCTCGGATGTAATGGGTCTATTAGTAATGACTTTTTTATATGATATTGCTTATTGTTTCTTCGTTTCTATTTATTTTATCTATGAGGTTCAGCTTTACTTATTAAAACTATTAATATAAAATAATTATTTAAGAAATAAATTGATTATTTTATGAAATCGCAAAAATATTGTGACATATTTTCGTTTGAAAATAAATTTTTAAATGCATCTTGTGTCAAATTATATATTAATGAGATACTCAACGCGGTTGTCTCTTCAAACCTAGGTCAAGTTAAATTTTATTTAAAAAACTAGTACAGTTTATTTAAAAAATATTCTTACTTTAACTGAATTCATTGTAATAACAAAAATATTTTAATATTCAAAATCGATCAATGAAATTAATATACTTCATTTTTACTCTTCTTAAACTACTCTCTTTTTCCTATTATATTCCATTATTTTTCTTTTTTCTTTTAAATAATATATTATTATTAGCAGACATAGATTTTCTGGAAAATTTAATGAAGTGGGTGAGCTGCAGCGCGGAGTGGTAGTCCCTCGGGGACACATTGGCCGACAAGGAAGCTGAATTCAATTAAGGCCGTTAATTTAATCCGCTCTATACTCTGTACCTCCGTCCTTACAGACAGCCCGCTGATTGGACGCTGCCTGTAATGATTACTAGTTTTAGTAATCGAACATGTTATCGTAACAACCTAAATGTAACCAAATGTGTATACCTACATATGAATACAATTCTTATATAGGTATATTACAAAAGGAGTACGAATTACCGTGAAATTGGAGAAATAGTTTATGGATTGGAGAATATCATAATACTTTTTACTTAATGCGTTATGAAGGTATGTATGTACATGTACCTTCCCTATACACATATATACATATATATATATATATATATATATATATATATATATATATATACGAGTATATATAAATTACATTTTACAATAATGCAAATAGTTATTCCAGCCAATAGTATAAGTCATATATATAAATAGCCAATAATACATACATACACTAAGAATACATATTATACAATCTTTAACATTGATAAAGGTCTTGTTTTTTAATTTAAAAAAATATGAAATGTCTTTCCTTGCAATTTAAACTACAATTGAGTGAAATTTCATCGAAATATGAGAAAGTTTTTGTGTAATCAACAAATATATTATTAATGATAACGTTTATATAATTTCTGCATTTGTATGACAAAACGCTATAGTCCGCATTGACTACAAACTGCGAATTTTGTGCTATACGAAAGATGTCCGCTTTGGAACTACATTATATAATATCATTGCATAACCCCTTTCGACCTTTACCCATTGTTAGACATTGGAAATGCCGCAATGTTACACTAAGTTAGGTCATAGTTACCGATCTAGTCTTTTAATTATTTTTATCGTATACCTTGTGCAAGTATTTTGAATAAATAAAGTAATAAATCAATCTACATGAAGGTAACCAAGACTGCCTAAACTATATTAATAAAACAGTTTTAAGAACATAAAAGTGCACATACAAAATTGGTAAAAAAATAAATCAGAGAACAGATTGTTTGATTTATTGACTCAGATAATCAGCTATCACCATACCAAATTTCATCAAAATCCCTCCAGTGGTTTTTCTGTGATGCGGTAACAGACAGACAGACATAGACATATAGGATACTTTTTAAAGCAGGAAAATGTCTCATTTCTGAGAAAAAATACAAAAAATGCAATGTAAGAGTATACTAATATTTAAAACCTAAGAATTTGGTTTTTGGTCATCTGAACGCGGGCAGAGCCGCGGGCAAACATATAAAATTAGCTTATTACATGTTATCATGAAATCGTACCGAACATATCGTTTAATAATTCATTCGTTTGAATAACAATCATTATTGTATATTACACAACTAATCTTGAAACGATTTTTAGTATAAATTCATAATATCTAAACTAATATAAAGAGGAAAGATTTATTTTTTTGTTTCTTTCTTTGTTGGTACCGAATAGGATCCAAAACTACTGAAACGATTTAGATGAAATTTGGGAAGAAGATAGACCCTGGGAAGGACATAGAATATAGTCTTTATCCCACAAATCATCCCTTAGGGGGGTGAAAATGGGGTTGAAAGTTTGTATGTTGAAGCGACCTAGTATGCTAGTAGCTAGTATGATATAATCAAGCTTTCGTGGCTACACGTGAACTATTACTTTTTATTGCATAATGTAATTATAATATCCTAATAACATTTCTATTTTTAAAATAATTATAAATTAAGAATATTCATCTGAGACAAACAATATAAAATACGAGAAATAAGTTTTAATTTACAAACAAATAATAATTTGTTATTACATTATGTAATATCACAGTATAACTTACTTAGGTCAAAGTAAATACTGAAAAGGTATACGCTTAGTCACGATACGCCAGCCGAGGGATCAGCGCTCCTTGCCTGCGGACAGCACTTTCCACTTCGACCGCAGTTGTGCGTCCCACTCACAACGGAACTCCATTTACTCGCAAAAAATTTGTACGCAGAAGAGGGTTTTGCTGGCCATTCCTACTCAATCCAACTGCTGGTTTAAATACTAAAATTTGTATGTATATCTGTTTGTTGTTCTGATGGAGTACACAGATAATCTATCACCTGGAGTAACACTATCAGGTATCTAGAATCTCACTCGAGTTTAACTCCCTAGTTGTACATATGTATATTGGACTAATAAAATAAGCCTGAAGTTGAGGATGTTATCAATTTAATTACATTAAAGCATATGGTCTAAGCGGTTATGTTAGCTGTTTGTGGTTTCTGCTCAACCGCATTTAGTTCATTGGTGCGTTTCTATATACATATATTTGATTATATATAATTCGATTCTTAATTCAAAATCTATACTAATATTCTGAAGAGGTGAGTTTGAATGTGAGAGATAAACTCCTGTAGTACTGATCCAATTCTCAAAATTCTTATACTAAAAGAAGGCTGACTAGTGTAGTAAGTATACTTCCCTGTAGTGTTGTAGTAGAACAGCAAAAAGTTTCCAAAAGAAGATAGAGATAATAATATTTCTTTTCTGATTTCAAGGAAAAGAAATAAGCAAATAAACAAATTTTAAAAGGCCCTACACATACATAGTTATACATATTTGTTTAAAGTTATTTTTCTTAGTTATTTAAACATAGATAGATGATTTAATTAAAATATTTATGGTAGAACTCGGTAAGAGGAGCAGCGTCCATTCGTTTTACCTTTGATGTAAACTCTCCCGCGTCCAACAAACTTTCTACCACAATCATTTATTTTAAGTTACATAATGTATGCGAGTCTTATTTTATATGCATGTAATTTGTATAGTTACTATAAAAACCGAAGTTTTTTTTCTGATTTCATTAGGTACATCGAACTAGCTAATTTTGCTTATATGTATATTAATAATTGGACCCAGTTATGCAAAAAACAGCCATATGCGTAAAAGGTCCTACAGAGTTATAAGCATTTTATTATAAAAATTATAATAATTATAAAAAATAAACAATACTTATATAAATATTGTTCAATTTTAAAATAACCAGAAAAACAAAACATAACCCAAGTGCAACTATCGACAGACAAATGCTTATAACTCTGTTGATACTTTTACGCACATGTCTGATTTTTGCATAACTGGGTCCAATTTATAACTAGTCTAAAATATTCGTTAAAAATAATTAAACTTACTCTAAGTTTTATAGTATTCGAAAAACAAACACGTTTTATCTGAATAGTAAGAAATGAATTTAAAATGTTTGAAGCGCAAAGGAGTGAACAAAGCTTCTTGGAATTTTCAATCTGTTCAAATGTTCAATCCTCGCTTGATATTAATATTGAACATTTACTGAAGTCCACTTCAGAATTTATTTTCTTACATTTTCTGAGAACTGTATAGTATCCACTATCCTTATAATTTACGGTTTTCGTAAGGAACTTTACCATGATGAATGTCATTAATTCTTTAAAATATCATACATCTTAATTCTTAACTCACATTGCGTGTAATATATTGGAACATTTTAAAAGAAATATTTGATAAGGTTTCATTCTTATACTCCACTTATTTGACAATTGCACGTATAGTATTAGTTTAATACTAATTATTTAATACGAATTATTATTGGTATTATTGGTAGGAATTAGTATTAGCAGTAGGAATTGTTTAACATCCAATTTATATTTATTTACCCAATATCTTTACATAAAATATCAATCATTACAATCATTAAAGTAAAGGTGAAAACTCAAAAGTACCTACGAGCAAACTTTGAGACATATCTTAGAAAGCGCATGTTCAACATCGACATTACCTATCCCAGTCTACCTTGTTCCACTTTTCTCGATAGTGACCTAAGCCCGTATAGAAGGCCTTTATAAAATACTGGCGAAATTAGGTTAAACTCCATCCACAGTGAGCCACGGTGAGAACATCCGACGGATGGACAAAACCATTTTAAAAGATTATATGAATGACGTGAAATCGACTTGTATTATTCTGTATAAATTCCCAACAATTAAATGTTGGTATAGAGAATTTATTTTTTATTTTATGTACTGTGTAATATGAATCATACTTCTTGTAGATAACTTTATACTGTTAACTTTAATTTTAACTATGTAAAAAAATTATCTGACTTTCTTTCTCTTTCTCTTGTCAGTGACAAACCAAGCAATAACTCTGCATTCGCTTTTACTACAACATATGAGTTAAAACAATCGATCGGTCTGAACATCTCTTAATTTGCATGTATTATTTTACTTTTTTTATTACGAATCGTTATTAATCGTAAAAAAGTATTTCTGTCTTTAAAAAAAAATACTTACCTGGCTGAAAAGTTTAGATTATGATGCGACAGAAGAAATTATAAAAAATGCTGTATAATATCTACAAACACACACACACACAGACTTATTCTCATTTTTGTTATTCATGAATTTTTTTGTGCAAATTTTTTTTTTAAATATTACTTGATGTTTGTACTATTATCATTGTGTTGGCATAAACCTGTCATTAATTATATGGGGAGGTTCATCTCCCTCAAAAATCTTTACCACTATTAAATTACACATTATATCAAATCTGCTGATACATTTATATTTCTATCATCTTTATTAGCGCAAATCAAAGACTAATTACGTAAATAAGTATATATAAATGATTTATTGCAGTGATATCGCATAGATAGTTCGCGATAGACGCCGCTAATATTGAATAAGTTCTGATGGCAAAGTTTCTCTTTCGAAACATTATATTACTTTCAGGACCGCGATCTCGAACAGAATTTTGATTGTTTTATCACAACGGTAGAGATGGTAAATGAAATATGTGGGTTAATCATGTAGAGGATTATTATTTACTAGCGACTTACCTTCACTTCGCACCCGTCTCTAGGTATGTTTTAAATAGATGTAAATAGGTATTGCGTGTGTACCTAAAGAGAAAGACTTATGCCATTGCAAATTTTCTATAGGCCTTTTTAAGACCTACAATTTTCTAGTACATTGTTTTGATGTATTAAGGTTTAAGGATGTATTTAAGGTTTCTAAGGACGATTCTATAGAACCAGTTATTGTATTTTCCCATGGGAATGAAAGATTTTCCTGTAGTAAAAGTTTAAAATTGGTTCAGTACTTTTTGCGTCGAATACGCACATACAAACAGACATATAGATATACAGACAAAAAAAATTATAACTATTGCTTTGGGGACTATATTCTATATACACAATAAGTTACAGTGAGTGTGTTTAAAAATTTCATGTACAGATTTCGCTAAATTACTATTTTATTATATGTATAGATTTAAAACGCATACCTACAGTATTATATGAAAACCGCTTTACTTAATCTTGTACATAAAAAGTATAAATGACTGACTGACATATCGGCATACTGCATACAGCCTAAATGACTAGGTCTAGGAACGTGAAATTTTCAACAAGGAAGAATATTTTTAAATAAACTTTTTTATAATATAGACAGGCGCTAAAGAAGGTTTTTCTAAATTTCACTTTGATGGATTTTTTCTTTTTTATTTTATTTAAAAAACGAGATGTGTTTTAAGATTAACATCTATATGTCTTTGCGTTTATTTGTGCTATCGGAGCTTCCAAAATTCGCAAAGCTTAATACTTGCTTGCAGATAATACTAGCAAATTTTCATGCGAGAAGTTTTCCATAGCTTTCTTTTCACCGGTGGTGAATTAACCCATTATTTTTTATCCATTAAAGTATTTTTTGCTAAGGTCTAACCTTCAGGTTATCGATGGGCAACCTTTACTTTGTGCGCGGTACTCCTGGTACGACTGCGATCACATCACATGAATGGTTTACCACCCTCAATTCATTACATAAACTACTATTACTCAACAGTTTATTAGATTATTAAAGGTTCTAAAGTAGTTATAATCATTATTTCTATGCACTTCTCGTAATTTTATTACTTATTTCATATATAAGTATGAATATGCTAACGATAATGTGTAGAATATAATATATAGATGAAAAAACAAGAGCTATATATTCGTTCCTCAACCTTAAGAGCAGAATATATTTCTAACGTATGCAAGATAACTGGGCACTTAGAAGTATATGATGATTATGAAACTTTGCATTGGTAATATAGAGAACAAATTTTATGCTATAGTCGCATCTTCATGTAGAGAAAATAAGTGCAAGCTAAACCTGTAGGTATAGGAATGAATAAAGAAGGCTAACATTTTGAAGTTAAGATATTAAATTACGACCAGCCTTGATTGACTTTTGTTCCATTTTGTAAGTAATAATCAATCAATTGTATTTTATAAGTTACTAACATTGCCCGCGGCTCCGCCCGCGTTTAGATGACCAAAAACTAAATTCTTAGGTTTTACACATTAGTATACTCTTACATTGCAGTTTTTGTACTTTTTCTCAGAAATGAGACATTTTCCTACGGTAAAAAGTATTCTATATGTTGACCCGAATAACCAGCTACTACCATACCAAATTTCATTACAATCCCACTAGTGGTTTTTTGTGATGTGGTAACAGACAAACAGACAGACAAAAAGTCTAAAAACTACAGATTCGGCCTCTGTATCGATAATATTGTCTATTTCAATAAGATTTTCCAAAAAATATTTAATGTACAGATTCGGCTTAATTACAATTTTACTATATGTATAGATAAACCGCATTATATTATTTGACGTTCCTGGCATCAAATAGGAATATTGAATCTTATATGATTTTAGGTTCCTAAGCACTATTGTATCAATCGAAGATCGCTGTTAATTATCGTAGTGGTAAGTGTACTCGGGAGTACGCCGAGTGTATTTCAGCAGTATCAGATATTTCCCACCCCGCTCGTAACTGGGTCGCGAAGAGGAGCGGCTCAGTGATGGGTGGGGGTGCGAACTCTCTCGTTGCGTTTTTGTAGCAGCGCGTCCAACCGATCGGCCCGACGTTGCCCCTCGCTTCACTTCTAAAGCGAAAAGAATACCACACACTTCTCTCGAATGCCGCCGTAAAAATGCGTTTACTCACGTTTTGTATTTGATTCATTTTTGTGAAGTGCCGCCCGAACTCCCAGAGGTCGACACCGAATTTTAGCGCCCAATTCTTGACTCTGCAACAAAAAATATATTACGTTTCGCACGTGAATTTGCACATCTTTATGTTATCCGTCGTTTGTCACGACGTTTAATTAAGTATCTGGGTGGATCTATGATAATCTTTCATTTAGACGTAAAAAGTTTTCTCTGAACATTTCAAGAAAACTCAGAAAAGGAACTTCATCCTTATAGACGTATAATGTAAGAAACTTTTTATTTCTTTCCTTCATCCGATGTGGATACACAGAATAGTTATTCTTTGTTTATATAATCCGAATTAAAAAACTTTTATTTGGGATGACAATTTTTGTACGTAAAAATATTGCTTTAGCTTATAACATTTTACAGTTAATCAATACAATTATTCAATATTATTTACATTTTTTTGTTAATATCTTCAAATATAGCAGCTCCTCCTTCTTTAAATTTGATAGGTGAAATTAGATTAATCAATAGATTAATTAGTTGATCATGATTTAGAATAATTATATTGATGAGTATTTCTTTTTTTAGAGCTGGTTATAGATTATATTTATATTCTTATACTCAGCATGGAAAATATATATAAGAAATTATAGATTTTATAGAGGAACATATAATAATATCGGTAAAGGATTTTCCGGTAATTCCTTTACCCAGTAACTGCTGATTACTTTTTTAATTACTTCATTTCATAACGAGTCGTATTGTTTGAAAACAATGCGCAAGGAGCGTTACTCTACAGTCATACAAACTAATTGCGGTAATACTATACAGCCAGTGATAATGCACACTTTGTATAAAAGAACGATATTATTAACCTTGATATATCAAATTCAAAAGGAAAAGCATCAAAGATATGGCTGAAACGTGTATTAAAGAATCGAAATGTTCCTGGGAAGTAAATGTGATTGGGGAAAGCGGGTTAAGCATTTTTTCCACTCGATCGACCACCCTTATAACAAGTAAGTGTTATCAGAGGTTACACTCGGTATCATTTTGTCGCAGCACGAGAGATAGCTCGCGCTTGATGGAAGGACCAATTTAATTAAAGACTGTAACGAGCCTTGCGGAGAACAGGTACTCTTGGCGTATGATTGGAAATGTTATACTGTTTTTATATTAAAATATTGTTACTGTAAAGAATTTGTACTTAAAGATTGGATAATTTTAAAAAATATGGAGAATGATACAATAAGAACTAAATTTTGTTTATGAGACTAATGCCCGATTTCACCAACGTCACCTAAGTTTAAGGGATATCCTAAGCATGGTTAGGGGGCTGTTAGGGGACAGTTTCCGTTTCACCGACAGTTAGGGGTCACCTAAATATTAAAAACCCACTAAATTTAGGTGCTCAAAATATGGGCTTAAAGACAATCGTAAAACGAAATTTAACTTAGGAGCTAGTTTAGGGGACTTTTAAGCTAAGGATCCCATACGTAGTGGGTGGAGGCTTATGGGTTGTTGGTGAAATCGGGCATAAATATCGTACAGATAGTACATATGTATACATTATTGAGCTATAATTCTTTAAATATTCTGCTTCTCAATATGTACAATGCTGATATTAATAAAGCCATTATATTTTATTACATTTGAACACTTGTTTGATTTATTTAAAACATAATATGTATTATTTGGAAATCACATCATTATTCAGTCACTTTTTTTAATGTTAGAAAATGCATTTACACATACCACCTGATTACATACAGGTATTACCGTAGGATTCACAGGCTAGAAAAGGCAGTACTACTCACTAAAACCAGCGAAGCCTCCCCTGTCTTAATGGGATGCCGCAGGATCGCTTACGCATTCAACCACGAAGCCCCGATTGCCGAAGCAGACTACAAACCAACTTGCTCCTACCGTCCACTCTGCTATCAGAGAAGTACCAGGAGCAACCTGAATGGTACACCACCCACCGAGATTACTATCCAGTCTCTATTCTAACGGCATATTATGTAAGTTTGGAGCATCGAACTAGACTTAAATAATTAATAGATAATTAATTAAATATCTTAAAGTAGCTTATACACTATTATTATTACACTCATATTACCTATTATTACCTAATCCGAAAGTGTAACTCACACTTTCGGATTTCGGTTCGGTTCGGTTGTACATATGTGTGTATGTTACTTCTTCATGCAACACCTTTACTGATTTAAAAGACATTTGTAATGAAGAAGCATGTGTCCTGTATTACTGGATAGGACAGGATATTTACATGAACTAAGGAAAAGGGATATTCCTGCATTTAGTATTCGACTTAGATAATTTTTAAATTGAATTGTATATCGCAAGTAATAAAATTTTATGATAAAATCTTGTGAATTTGAGTCATAAATCAAAATTCTCTGGTAGTATTAGTCCATAGCTTTACTCGCTATGCGACGTCACTGCGGCCTTCGGTTTATTGATGACTTTAAATTTGTTTAGACCTACAGCTCTTGGTAATATCTCCCTGGTACCGCAGTATAAGTACACACATAAATATGTGCTTATACTGTGAGACATCGATATTCGTTTGTTAATAGGTAGTATTTTGTTGGTAAGTATCATGTTATAAATACTTATCTTATGTAGATAATTAAAATGTAAAAACAAAAGTTTAAAGTATTATTTTTTGTACAGAAGACTAAATTTAGTATTATATAGTAGATTTATTTTGATCACGTTCATAGATAGGATTTACTATGTATAGAATCCGCATCTTCTATCCAGAGACTTGTATATATATATATATATATATATATATATATATATATATATATATATATAGACTTGTAGATCTGATATAGTTTCAATATTTGTTCCAAAAAAATTTTCAGATTTTGTTTATTTAGTATATAGTGTGTATACCTTGCGTTTCATTCTTCTAACCTTATGTAAACTGTTGTAAACAATATTTCATAAAATCAATACATATTTTGATGTAACGGGGCCAAAGTAGCATATTAAATATATGTTTCCCGAAAATTTTGTTGTAGGGACGTAATAAAGGTATACATATGTATATATGTGTGTCAATTCATCGCGCATCATGCCACAACCCACAACCTCTGGGCTGATTCCAGTGATACGTTTATTGACCAAGTATCTAAGACAGATAAATTTAATATTTTATAACAAAGTGTAATTTTAATAGTTCGTTTACTTATCATTGCATGTGTATTCAGCTATATATCATATATATCATTCAGAGAGGGCGAGGCTCCAGTGAACCATATTTTCCTTGCCTGTCGATGTTTTTTCACTAGCATAGCAGTGCAAAACACTACCTCGTTAATATTAGTACTTTTGTTTGTATTTTCACCCTGTTTAATTAATCACGTAGGTAATTTATACACAATTAATTTTATGCTATTGTAAATACATTCTAAACAATGTATAACACCTATATATGTATATATATACTTACTCAACGAACCATATGCTTAAGACATTTTGTATATTTTGTATTTATAAAGCTTATTCTTATTTTTCCGACTACCCTTAAAAGGGTACTTATTTTCGGGTACGTATCGATCCTTTAGCTTGAATGTTTCCCTGTAACCTAAACGGTTTTATGGTTTTAATATACAAGATGCCTTTAGACGCTTTTCTTAGTTTTGAAAAGGACATGGAGTTCATAATATTAAAAAGATAGATGAAATAAAAAGTAAATCTTTAAAATAGTTATATATAATTTAAAGTTAACCTATACTAAAATATGAACGTCCTTGTAGTTTGTATGAAAATATTAATATAAAAATATGATTTGTATTTAATTCTTCCATTTTACAGTTTTCAGAAAGTCAGTATAAAATATTTTAATGTATATCGTATCTGTTTATTATTCGTAACGGCCCACAGAATATTCTCATTAGCAATCGGGGATGTTCGCGGCCATTGTTCTAAGTTGGGCCGTCATGAGCAGAAGTTACGAATTTTAAATTATTTAAAACGCTCCTCGACACCCGCGGCGATGCTTCCTACGCCGACGCCGTCAGGTGTTCGCAAGCGTTCTTGGGGCGACTGAAAATACGATCTTCCGAAATGAAACGTCGGATAACGACCCTCTGGAACTGCTATCTGCGTAACTGTAATTTTTGTTTATATTCCAATATTGTAATCACTTATCTTCCTTTATTATCATAAAAAAACTTTTTGCTTTCTGCAAAATCTACTCGTGAATAAATCTCAAATATTCTCCGAAATATTAATATGTATAAAATAAGTAAACTTTGTTCGTATTAAATTGTTTTATTAATATCTTTCATAGAAAAAACTATAAAGTGCTTGTCAAAATAGCAAAAGTAATTTCAAACCCACAAAAAAGTTGTGGACACGTTCTCGTGTTGAAGAAAGTTTAAACACGATCTTTTCAAGTGTAAAAAGTTTTGAAAGACCAAAAAAATTCTAAAAGCTTCACTGTCCAGAAGTCCTAAAAGAAATCTGGATCGCGTTAAAAAACAAAGAGTGGATTAACAGTGCAGAGATCCGCTTAAAATATCTTGTTACTGTAATCGGTTTAACCCTAGCCCCGCGCCCGGGCCTGGCGCTGGCCCGCCGGAATCTCGCGACTAACCCGATTTGACTCTTACCTGATTTACGACAAACTTTATTGTTTCTATCCCTTTAGTATTCTGATTTTGTCTTACTTTAATTTCTTTTATAGATCTAGTTGGAAGTATTATTAAAAATAATTTATTAACAATTTAAATCATACAATTTGCAATTTTCTCACTATTTATATTATAGTTTTCTATTGTGGTACATATATAGTATATTTTAACTAAACTTTTACAATACATAACTAACATTCAAATTACATCAACATTCAAAATTTATGAGATAAAGCCTTACATGTCACACGCAATGACAATTATGGCAAAACTTTATTCATTAAAGACATCAAACCAAGAAAACGATGATATCTGGTTGCATCTGATAGTTGTTTTATTAATCAGCGTCGTCGTAGCAGACGGGGTGTCAGACGCGTCCTTACGTAAGCCAGCCTCCGTAGTACGCCGCCGCCCGGGCCCCC